ACTACTACTAATAATACTACTACTATAAATAATACCAATACTACTACTAATACAACTAATAATAAAACAGTATATAGATATTTCCGTTAAATGTAAATGTATGATCATAATCAGTAAGATGATATATTACAAGTAATTACAAGATTGTTCCTGTCATAATCATTAATAAATATGATTAGTTTACTTGTCAATAAACCTACTTAGTTCTTATGAAATAGATTATGTATAGCAGAGTTTCATTATGTATGATTGCAAAAGAAATAAAAAGAGAAAAAAACAAAAAAAGAAAATAGAAAATAGAAAATAGAAAAAAAATCGAATAAAGAAAAATAATAAATTTTTATTCATGTGACAATTACTTAGTTCCTATATAATTAACTTAATGTATATTAATTGTATATTGTTCTCTTTTTTTACTACTGAACAATTACCTCTATTTTATCGATTATAAAATCGAATCAGAACAGAGTTTTGTGAAGATTGTAGTAATTTCAATAATTGAGATCATGAATCAATTGAAGCTAGACCACTATGGAAAAATTGGAAACACTGAATAGATGTTTCGTCCTATTGTGGCACTCTTCAGCAGTACGCATCCACAATCACAACTCGTGAGATTCAAACACAGAAACTATCAGTCTCGTGCTTAAACGCTTAATCACTAAACCACTGAACTGACCGACATTCAACTGTGTTAATATCTAACATCAAATAATCCACAAAATTGAGCAACACATCCATAATTATCACTAGTGATTTACTATCTCACAACTGACCCAGTTGAACTCTACTGATCATTATTTCTTACTAGAACTCTAGGAAATATCTCTTGAAGTCAGTCATTAGTCAGCATATGTTGATTCGAGTCAGAAGGGGTTTTGTGGAGATTGTAGTAATTTCAATAATTGAGATCATGAGTCAATTGAAGCTAGACTACCATGGAAAACGTGGAAGCACTGAACTGATAGGTCCTGGGTTCGAATCCCGCGAGGTGGGGTCGTGGATGCGCGAGGCTGAGGAGTCTCACAACGGGACGAAACCGCCGTCCAGCGTTTCCGGGTTTTCCATGGTGATCTAGCTTCAACTGACTCATGATCCTAACCATTGAAACTAGATACATTCATTTAAATATTTACATACCAGAAATACGGAATTGTTTGAAGCTAAGATGAAAAGAATAAAATTCATGGTAGCATCGATAACCATTGTAGAATAGTATATTCTGAATATTATAAGATACATCTCTTTGAGTACCTTCATTTGTCTGTTTTATAACTCTTTTTATTTCTTCACTGGATTTCTATGCCACAATCATTATGTAATAATGAGGGTAACTGAAGTTATGAACTGTAAGATTTTGGTTGAGTGGTCTGAAAATACACAATGCCCATCACTACAAAATGAATGTATCTAGTTAGTCATTAAAAACAATAAGGAACGGTATATACTTGATATGATCACGTATAAGTACTGCGATAACATCTTAAACTGTAGTGAAAAAGTCTTTCAAGATATAGGGGATTGTCGAGAATCATAGAAACGTCGTACCCACAAAAATTGACTCTTTTGTGAAATGGTTTTTGGGCTCGACTCTCATTTGTACTCGGATCGCATATCACTTTGAGTAATAAGTATATTATTTACTGTATACTAGCACAAATGATTCATCATCAATTTACTTACTTACTTACTTACGCCTGTTACTCCCAATGGAGCATAGGCCGCTGACCAGCATTCTCCAACCCACTCTGTCCTCCGCCTTCTTTTCTAGTTCCATCCAATTCTTGTTCATTTTTCTCATATCTATCTCCATTTCCCGGCGTAATGTATTCTTTGGTCTTCCTCTCCTCCTTCGACCTTGAGGATTCCATATGAGGGCTTGTCTTGTGACGCAGTTCGGTGTTTTCCTCAATGTGTATCCTATCCACTTCCAGCGCTTCTTCCTGATTTCTTCCTCCACTGGGATCTGATTTGTTCTCTCCCACAGTAGGTTGTTGCTTATAGTGTCCGGCCAGCGGATCTGAAGTATTTTGCGTAGACAACTGTTAATAAACACCTGTATCTTTTGGACGATGGATTTCGTAGTTTTCCAGGTTTCTGCCCCATACAGTAGAACTGTCTTGACATTTGTATTGAAAATTCTGACTTTGGTGTTGGTTGCTAATTGTTTTGAGTTCCAGATATTCTTCAGTTTTAAATATGCTGCTCTTGCTTTGCCAATCCGTGCCTTCACATCTTCATCATATCCACCGTGTTCATCGATGATACTGCCCAAATATGTAAAGGTTTTTACATCTTCCAAAGCTTCTCCGTCAATTGTGATTGGATTGGTACATGTTGTGTTGTATCGAAGAATCTTGCTTTTCCCTTTGTGTATATTGAGACCTATTGCTGCTGAGGCTGCAGCTACACTGGTTGTCTTCTCCTGCATTTGTTGTTGTGTGTGCGATAGAAGAGCCAGATCATCTGCGAAGTGTAGATCATCCAACTGCATCCTATCTGTCCACTGTATCCCGTGCTTCCACTCAGATTTTGACGTCTTCATGATCCAGTCGATCACCAGGAGAAAGAGAAAGGGTGAGAGTAAGCAACCTTGCCTGACACCGGTCTTTACTTCGAACGACTTTGTCAACTGTCCTCCATGAACGATTTTGCAGTTTAATCCATCATAGGAATTCTGTATGATATTGACTATCTTCTCAGGCACGCCGTAGTGTCGAAGAAGCTTCCATAGGGTTGTTCTGTCCACGCTATCAAATGCTTTTTCGTAGTCGATGAAGTTGATATAGAGTGATGAATTCCACTCAATTGATTGTTCCACAATGATCCGTAGAGTTGCGATTTGGTCTGTGCACGATCTATCCTTACAGAATCCTGCCTGTTGGTCTCGAAGTTGGGCGTCTACGGAGTCCTTCATCCTGTTTAACAATACCCTGTTGAAAACTTTTCCTGGTATTGAAAGAAGAGTGATGTGCCTGTAGTTGTCACAGTTGCTGAGATCGCCTTTCTTTGGTATTTTGACTAGAAGTCCTTCTTTCCAGTCTGTTGGTACCTGTTCCTCATCCCAAATCTTTCTGAAGAGAATGTGGAGTATCCTTGCAGTTGCCGCTACGTCTGCTTTCAGTGCCTCTGCTGGAATGCTGTCTAGTCCTGCTGCTTTGCCACTCTTGATTTGTCTGATAGCCATGCTGATCTCTTCAATTGTTGGTGCGCCAACATCAATTGGGAGGTCCGTGAGTGCTGTTTCGATGTTGGGTGGGTTCAATGGGGCTGGTCGATTCAAGAGTTCTTTGAAGTGTTCTACCCATCTGTTTCGTTGTTCTTCAATGTTGGTGATTATCTTGCCTTCCTTGCTTTTCACTGGTCGTTCTGGTTTACGGTGATTTCCAGAGAGTTTCTTTGTTGTTTCATACAGTTGTCTCATGTTTCCTTCTCTGGCAGGCTTTTCCGCCGTCAATGCCAAATCTTCCACATATTTACGTTTGTCAGTTCTGATGCTCCTTTTCACTTGCTTGTTTACTTCTGTGTATTCAGCCTGTGCCTTGACTTTTTCTGCTCTTGTTCGACTGGTATTGATTGCTGCTTTCTTGTTCCTCCTTTCTTGAATCTTATCCAGTGTATCGACCGTGATCCAATCCTTGTGATGGTGCTTCTTTTGGCCCAGAACCTCATGACATGTTGAAGTGATTGTCTCTTTTATCTCTTTCCAGTTGCTCTCCATAGTAGTTCCTTCTCCATTGAGTAGATCATGAAAGGCTTGGAACTTATTGCTGAGGGTTATCTTGAATTTATTGAGTTTGTCAGTATCCCGAAGAAGAGCCGTATTAAATTTTTGTGATATTGTCCTCCCCGTTGTCCAGTGCCTCTTGAGTTTCAATTTCATCTTGGCGACCAGCAAGTGATGATCTGATGCTTTATCAGCTCCTCTCTTTGTTCTCACGTCCTCCATCGTCCTCCTGAACTTTTTGTTGATGCAGATATGGTCGATTTGGTTCTGTGTGGTGTGATCCGGTGAAGTCCATGTGGTTTTGTGTATGCGTTTATGTGGGAATATAGTCCCGCCTATGACCAGTTTATTGAAGGCACATAGATTTGCAAATCTCTCACCATTTTCGTTCCTTTCTCCCAGTCCGTGTCGTCCCATGATCTCTTCATATCCGGTGTTGTCAGTTCCAACCTTGGCATTTAGGTCTCCCATTAGAATAGTCAGGTCTTTTGTTGGGCACTTCTCGACGATTGACTGCAGCCTATCGTAGAATTGATCCTTAGCGTCTTCGTTGTATTCGTTGGTAGGCGCATAGCATTGGATGACGTTCATTGTAATCCCCGTTTTCTTGGTTTTGAAGGAGGCTTTGATGATCCTTGGTCCATGAGATTCCCATCCTATAAGTGCATTTTGTGCTTGTTTGGACAGCATCAATGCAACTCCTTGTGTATGTGGAGAATTTTCTTGTTCATGTCCGGAGTATAACAGCAGCTCCCCTGAAGCTATTCGTTGTTGTCCAACTTGCGTCCAATGTGTTTCACTGATCCCAAGCACCTCTAAATTGTATCTCCTCATTTCTGCAGCAATTTGGAAAACTCTCCCAGTCTCCCACATTGTGCGAGCATTCCATGTACCTAAGTAAATGGTTGCTCTGGTTGTCAGAAGGGGCATCGGCCTCGTGACTTCCGAAGAAACTCGGCTTTCATCGTGAGGCGTCATAATTCTTCTAAACGAAGACCTTCTGACTCCCAGGGCAGAGTTTAAATGGTTTGAATAATTTTTTCTGGTTAGCGTTTTTTTAGCGAGTTAGTTTTCTACGGGATGGGGTCGCTAACCCCATGCCCAACCCTCCTCCTTTATCCGGGCTTGGGACCGGCAGTAGCCCCCGGAAAGGGGCTCCAGGCGGAGTTATGTGAATATGTTTTCAATACAAATTTCAAGACAGTTCTACTGTATAAAGTGGAAACTTGGAGAACTACGAAAGTCATCATCCAGATGATAAAAGTGTTTATTAGCAGTTTTCTACATAAAATACTTCGGATCCGTTGACCAGACACTATCAGCAACTACCTACTATGGGAAGAAATAAACCAGATCCCATTGGAGGAAGAAATCAGGAATAAGTCCTGGAGGTGGATAGGACACACATTGAAGAATGCACACAACTGTGTCATAAGGCAAGCCATCACTTGGAATCGTCAAGGCCAAGAGACGAGAAGATGACCAGAGAACTTACAGGTCCTGGGTACGATTTCAAATGGCATTGTAAGTACAAATTTCTACGAAGTTCATTATCAAAATGAAACCTCTATCAAACAGCATGTGATTTCTGATTATTCAGTTAATACAAGTCACTCAATGATGTATTCTACCTTTACAACTTAAAACTTTGACAAACCTTATCTACTAATAATAAGTTATCTAATGTACACACTGGTTCACCTAGATGCTTGATACCTGTGTGTTAGCGTCATAGGATTGAACTATAGTGCTCGGATTATAAAGTTTAAGCCTGGCTGATATCTGATTCTCCTAGTAACAGGATTGATCCATACTATTTAGCCTAAAAATTTTAAGCCTGTGCGTTATCTGACTCTCTTGTTAAACAGGACTTCATAGTTCCGTCGACCTTCCGAGGCAACAACATCCCACATCCAGCAGGCACCTTGGACGTTTATCACCCATGCTCTACTGGCCTGCTGAACCATCTACATCCGATGTCCCACCGCTTCTCACCGCCGACAGCACTCGCTACAGCTAATGCCGCCCCATCAGAACACTCCACTAGATGTCACCTCTCCGCATCAGACTGACCCAACCGCTACCTCAGCTCCAGGTCCCTCAACAGCATTCGCATTACACCACCCTTCTCCTCTGCTGGTTGACAGCGACACCAAATGTAATGAACAGAACATGGGTGGGGACAGGATTAACCATTACTATTTAGGTTGTCATGTAATAGTCTGGATAGTTTTTAGTTCTCCTGAAAACCAATATAAAATTATCTTGGCCTACCATGGTATTATATAACTAATGTATACGTAATTTTCTCCATACCTATTTAGTACACATCTTACATTATTTACAAATATTACGTAACACAACAAAACCTATAAAAATGTTAAATGGTTTTATTTGAATAAAACAAAACAAAAACAAAAAAACAAAAAACAAAAAAAAACAAAAAAAAAGAAAGAGAATTATTTTGAGCAGTTGTACAATGCGAGAGAGAGAGAGAGAGAAACAAAAATGTTGGCTCTTTTAAAAGAGAAGAAAAAAATTGAACAACAACAACAAAAAAAATGTACTAAGATATTTATTTTGTTTATTTTTCTTTCTTCATTCATTTTGTTTTCCCACCATCAGTCATTTTGCTTGAATCTTTTTTTTGTGTTTTTTTTCGTTTTTTTTCTTTTTCTTTTTTTATCACAAAAAATTATCATGAACATTGATTAATTGTTTTTATTGATATTTTGTATTCTTTTTATTTTTTTCTTTCTTTTTCTCTTTTTTCTTCTTTTTTCTTTCGAATTCATCTAAATTACTAAACATATTATTTTATAATTATTTTTATTTATTAAAATTTTATTTTCATTATTGTTGTGTTTTTTTTTTAAAAAAAAACTTTTTTTGTTTTATTATTCGTTGTAGAACTGAGAAGAATGAATGGAAAATAACAAGAAGAAAAACAAAACGAGAGAAAAGATAGAAGAAATACGATGCAGTTCTCTTTTTGATAAATGTGATAATATGAAGTGAACGATTATCAAATGAGAGGGTTGTTTTGTTTGTTTGTTTGTATTCATATTGAATATTATAATTACAATTGTATAATTAATATGTGTATAGAATACAATGATTATGGTTATTGAACTTTTCCAGAGAGAGAGAGAGAGGGGGGATAGAAGAGGGAGATAGGGAGGGAGGGGGAGAGAAAAAAAATATGACTTGATTATCAGAAGTGAAAATAGATCGATCATATTGAATGATGTAGTTACTTAGGTAGATAAATGAGGTGAATTCTTATTATTATTATTACTATTATTATTATTGAAGAGTAAGGTGTGTCAAAGAATGGAAGGGATTGTCTATTAGTGAACTCTGAAAAATGTAAAAATAAAAAAAAAAGATAATGAATCATAAGAAGGTTAATGAAAGTCGTTAGTATAATGTAATCAACACTTTTAACATTAGAAACTACTATATATGGAATTGTGAATACTTAAAACTTTTTTGGCTATAGAATTTATGAATCAATTGAAACTAGTTCATTATGAAAAACTTGGAAACACTGGATGGCCATTAAGTCCTATTATGGGACTCTTCAAAAGTGCGTATCTACGATCCTGTCTCACAAGATTCAAGTCCAAGATCTATCGGTCTCGCTCGTGAATGTTTGACCTTTAGACCACTGATCCGGTCAGGATTCAATGATGTTAATGTCTAACTTCAACCAATCCTATGATGATAAATTAAAACATTATACATATTCACTTAGTTACTGAAATGTTCTGTAAGTTCATGAAATTCATAATGTATAAAATAGAAATGAAAATGAAGAACAATTGAGTATTTTTTTTGTGATATAGATGTTGTTAGAATACAATCAGTTTCAAATCGACAGCAAGGGGTCAATGTTGTCTTTAATATTAGTGAAAACTTTATTGAATAATTTACGGATATTTTTTGGTTTATAATCTTCATTTACACCTTTGCGTTTTGATTCTTCTACTATTGAATAGGCTCATCCCATTGAATTAATATAAGTCCAAAGACTGCTTAAAATCCCTGTTGACAAAGTTTAATGACGCAATACCGAGTGGTGGAAGAAGATCCAGAGGCCCTATGGACCATTTAACTCAGTGTACAGTTATGATGACAACATGTAGGACATTTATTAGGATAATCCATAGATGTTTCACACAGACAATGGACTGAGTTCACAATGTTAGTAATGAGGTGAGTAGTTGGGTATGACTAGGCATACATGATAGAAATGGTTAACAAACACATCTGAATATCTCTTACTATTCCACTAATACGATATCTTATGATTTCTCTAATTGATAATATGGATCAATGAATGTTGTTATGTGAATACACAATGCATACATTCCGGGCTATCGGATGCCCGAATGTAACGCTGAATTATGATATCGCACTAATTGATTTTATTATTTAATAAACTAACGATACGTAGTTTACAACCATTATTATCATTAATACCTACGATCCTGCATTACTCATTGCTGAGGAGTCCCATACAGTTGTCCAGTGCTCCTAGATGTTCAATAGTGATCTAACATTGATCCATTCATGACCTTAATAAACACTCTACAATCTCTACAAAATCCTATACTGATAATGAACAGCCTCTTTAAAAAAAGACTTTTAGTACTAAGAAGAAACAGTACATGAAGATTGTAAATCTAATGATTCATTAGATTTTCTTTAAAGATATGCAAACCATTTAAACAACTGATATTAAGATAGGTGGATAGTGGCTGGCAGTGGAAACCAGGACACGAGTTTCGTCCTATTTAGGACTCGTCAGCTGGATATGGCTGTATCACAGAGTTGATGTTCACTCTGAGACTAGAGTCCAGTACCGTTCACTTCAAGCGTTAAACAATGGGAAGATATAAGTAGACAACACCAAGTGAATACAACTGATATTCAATAGTAGACGTTTAAGCTTTAATTGTTTGTTTTTTCTAAGAAAGATAATATAAGTCATAATAATAAACATATTATGACATTTAAGTAATGTGCATAATTAAAGAATAAGTGTGAAATAAACATCTTGACAATCCATTTATCTTAATCAAAATAAATGATCCATTTTTACTTTAAAAACTACATAAAGTTAATGCAGTGTTCAACTCTGCCTGAAGCCCTTCTAAGGCTGCTGCCGGTCCCAACCTCGAATAAAGGAGGAGAGTTGGGGCATGGGGTTAGCGACCATATCCCGTAGAAAACTAACTCGCTAAAACACGTTAACTAGTATAGTGTTCAAGTATTGAATTCTTAAACATTTTCATTAAGTCATAATATGTCTAAGTGTACATATTGAAAGAGAATACTTCCTATTCATGATGTAACTTACTTGAATAATCAAGAAAATTAATCAGACAAGATGGTGTTTGGAGATAGTCGATAGGTAATCTTAGAACTAAGTTTCAAGCTATTTTGCCACTCGTCAGTAAGATGCATCTGTAATCTTGAGAGAACTGATAATCTCTGGAGGTTTCAATCTTGTATCACCCAGCTTCATAGTCAGAGACGTTATCACTGGGCTATTCGAACAACGACTAACATCCTATAGTACTTAGATGTATTTACAATTAACTGATCACAAGGTGGTGATCAATGTCATATGTGCTAGACCCAGGGTTATTTGTTGACTAACTCTAACCACCATCTTATCATTGTTGAGCCACCTAGACTAGTGGCCACATTGAAACTTGGTTGATAGTATTCGATCTGCACTAATAAGGACCTAACACATATGATATTGATCAACACTCGGTGATCAATCAATTGAAGTACAAAGATAGATGATCAAACAATGAAGTTTATCTTTGCCGTTTACAGAAAGTAGTTTATGGCTCATAAATATTAATCAACGTTTAAAAGCATAAAATGTTTGTCTAGTCTATTAAAACAAGGAATTCTATCATTTATTGGTCAGTTGGACACGATTAGATTTAGAAATTTGAAAAAATTTAAGCCGTAAGAACAAAATATTTGAAAACATTCTTTCCTGTCTCTTTTCATTATAAACGAAACGACAAAAATATGCATTCACAGCTGCCCCCAATTGCCCGGGTATGGCCAAGGATGGGGAGAGTCATTTCCCTTTCTCAAAATACTCTCACATGGCCACACACATAGACCATTGTCAGGGAAGTCTTATTCACTGCATTCTCACAGCATGGGTATTGTTTACGAAATTGAGAGAACGAAAAGCGAATGTCTGGCGCACTAAGTGAGTTGGTGGATACAGAAGGTCCACCTGGAAGAGTGGGAAAACCATGATTCCAAATCAATAGTGTACGTGGGCTCCATGATTTTGAAGGAACAAACGGTATATGAACCTAATGTTGGTCACTGGCTACCATGGCGTCGCATCTCCTGACGTTGCTCCACTGCCTTGTGGATCAGACCATTAGGTCAATTGCTCTAGGTGTGGCCCCCAAAGAAAATCAGCTGCTTCGGTCTGAGCACCCGTGCAGTATCACAGCCCACACACAATTCAAGTGACTTGTGTGGTGCATTTGTTTTCGGTGCCCCTTTGTCTCAATAATAATGTCATCAAATAAATAAACACATTAGCTGGGAAGGTAACTGCCTGAGTCAGTCAGTCAGTAACAACGCAGAACTTCGTACGTACGTACATCAGTTCGAGTTGTCACACCATATTAGCACATAGATACAATTGTCGATTCAAATCACGTAGTGGTAGAGGTAGTAAAAATATAAGCAGTAATCGGAAACATTAGGGTTTGAAAGTGTTATTCAAGGAGTATAATACAATGAAATAAATTTGGGAAGAGAAAAAAAATAAGGGACATGAAGAATTCATATGATTAGAATGTGGGAGAACACAAAGATTGGATGCACCTGAGCCATTGCAAACGATTTTGAGCCATGTCACTCAGGGTCTCTAACCATCGGTTGCTATCATCTCGCAGATACCAATCAGGTAGTCTACAGCTATCAACATGGCTCAGTCCACTTGTCAGTGACTTCATGGACTTGTGCCATGTTTTATTCTGGCCACCCCTAGCTTTCTTCCAACCTTATCCTACATCATTGAACATGCCATGTCGGGGCAGTAGGTGGTTGGGCATACGTAACACATGTCCCAGCCATCTCAACTGATCAAGTTTCACTACTTCATCAATTGGTTTGCCATCCTCACCTATTGCCCCTTTCCTAACAACTGAGTTACTTATCCGGTGGTCTCAGGATATACAAGCGATGTTTCGAGGATATCTATAGTCAAATACTAGTAACCTGCGAATATCTTCTACTCTCACCGGCCATGTTTCACTGCCATAATGTAAGATGGAAAGAACTGCTGCACAGTAAAGTCGCCCTTGGTTGGCTGACGGATATCTGTCCTACGCCATAAATGACACAAGTTAGCAAAAGCTAGTCGAGCCTTCTATATCCGTGTTGAGATTTCGTCACATACCAGACCACAAGAACTGATGAAACTCCCAAGATAACTGAAGCGACCTCTGACTGAATGGATCATTCGATGTATGACGTCCGTATATAATTATTTATGTATATCAAAGACAAGATAGTTTAATAATGAATATACTCCGGAAACTGATCTCTTCAATGTTTGTCTTTATAATATACATTAGATCATATTCATTTAATTCATTCATAAATCATCTTTAATCATATTATATACTACTTATTATGATTTCTAATAATATAAACATATTAGAATTACAATGTATTACTATTATACATCAATGAATAAGAAGGATACTACACATTACAATGAACCAATATAAGATATATTGAATCAATTCTAGAAAATAATGGTGATAACGATATCATAAACTAACAACTAATCTATCAAGATTAGAAGAAATATAAAGCAGAACTAAATCTAGACAGCACTATCGAAATAGTAGGGTTTGTTTGTTTGTTTGTTTGTATGTTTGTTTGTATGTATGTTCCTAATGAAAAGCTACATACATGCATTTTATATATAAACTAACTATATACATAACTAATACTACTACTACTACTACACTTTACAAAAACAAAAAAAAAAAAAACAAAGAAAAGAAATTAAGCAACAACATGCAGTTACATAATGATGGTCATCATGACTTAATGATGATGATGATGACGCGGACGATGGTTTGGTAACACAATAATGTAGATATACCTATTGGTAGGTATTATTGTTTTGTATCCATCAATAATTTTACAGATATACAATCATTGTGACTTGGTTAATTTTTACAGTAATGGTAGTAAGAATAGGGGTGTAGTGAATGAGAACAAAGAAAGGGATAAGTAAATGTATGTGTTAGTCAACATTGAGAACTATACAATAAGCACTTCATTTG